CCTCATGGCATGTCTGTCCTCATATGGGGCTGTAAAGCAACAAAGATGGCCACATTGCTGGGGTACTGGAAAATGGGGAGCCAAAGTATAGGAAAGTGCAGAGAAAATGAAAGATCTGGAGATGTTTTGAGGGTCTTGAGGCAAGTGAGACCCATACATTTGTGGCAAAGCTCCCATGACCACTTGACCCAGGAGGCCAGAAGCTTCCCAGAGGAGAGGAGGAATAGACTGGGGCAAAAGGCAACTTAGATGTCCTGGTTCTTTGCCCCTCTCCCTGCCCCAGCCAGCAGTGTCTCTGGGCCTTTCAGCAGAGTGCCGGGCACTGCCTGGCTTTGAGGTAAGCCTGCTCTGTTCCGAGGTTTGTGGGAGCAGCAGGAACCTTTGGTGTTCTGAGGCCACAGAGAACAAAGCCAGCCCTGAGTCTGCCCCTGAGCCTGGTTTTTTCCTTGTCACCTTCCCAAGAACAGCTGTCAGGAAGACAGCCTTGTCCAGTGTCCTGGCGCTGGCCTGAGAGGATTCCTGTGCCCTGACTCCTGCTGCAAAGGGTTGGACATAGGCACTTGGCCGAGGGGATAGCATTCCTGCTGCGTGAGCTGCTCTCCTCTCTGGTAGCAGGAAAGTTTCCTGGCCTTGGAGGTCCGACCTCACCCTGACCACTCCCTGGGTTCCAGAACTTTCCTTGCTGGCAGCAGGAGGTGGGTACTGGGGAGTGGGAGGAACTGGGCTGGGCTGAGTAGAATTTTCAACACTCAAGGCCAGACCTGAGTCACTAGTGTTTATTTAGATACTGAGTCAGCCACCTACCAGCTGAGAAAGTTTGGACATGTTACCTTCCCAGAGGCTTGGTGTTCTCACCTACAAAATGGGTTGCGAAAGGGCCTGGTTGATGACTGTAACTTTTTAAAAACTATTAAAACTGAGGGGGAAATTGCCTGCTATTTTCTAGATATGGCTCCTGTCCCCTTCCTTTCTGCCTCTCCCATGAGGGCCTTCCTTACTCAGCCCTAAATTTACCAGGTTCTTCTCAACAGCCCAGATAGCAGCCAAGAAGGGGCTGGGAAGTGGGCAAAGACTTCAAGAGACAGGTGCCCACAGCACACCTCCAACCCCAAACCAACTGGAAAAATGCCACCAGTGGCTTTTTCCAAACTGCTTTTCACAACCTGTGTCCCTTTTCCTTTCACCTGCCAGGACCTGTATTTCTATTTCTGTGTTTTGAAAGCCTGGGGGGTAGAGGTGGAGCTGGGATAATTAATGATTGATTCCCTGGCCCAGCCGCCAGGAGGCCGCAGGGTAAGCTGTTGGCCATTTCCTGAGGTGTGGACACAGGGTAGAAATGTGGCTATGTCCCCTATTGGGCAAGTGTGTACGGAGAAAAGGTAAAGCAAAAAACCACCAGTCTCCTGTGAACAGGTGAAGTCCGGCAGGCTGGAAGCTCTGCCCTGGTACTGGTGCGCCCCTTCTGGCATTGGTTCTGCACCCCTCTTTTTGGGTCAAAGACAATAAATTTGTCCCCTCACAGACACCCCTGCCCCCACAACAACCGCCACACCCACCCTAAAGCCATAGCTGGTGCTCCTTGGCTTTTTCTATACAACAGCTCACCTGTCCATCACCCAAAGCTCAGATGGCTGCTTGAAAATCTCACAGGGCTTTGGGAAAAGATTAAAGGAACCGACTTCTACAGCAAAATTTTAGAGGAGTTTTAACTCTGCCCTCTTGGAAGTATTTCTCCTGCCTTTGTTGTCTAATAATAATTAACTTTTGTACTGAGCTGTAGTTTTCAAAGGGCTTTCACATTCATAATTCCATTCATCCTCTCAACAAAGCAGGGAGGCAGGTCTTACCCTCCCCCTCCCCACCTGCACCCACCTCCCACAGAAGAGGAAACTGAGGCTCAGAGAAAGGAAATGGCCCTCTTTCACATTGCCTTCCAACTTAAAGTAAAGAGCTGCTGTTTTCTTCCCAAAGGGCACATTTTAGTCCTAGGAATTGTTTGCCATAGCAAGTAAGCACAGAGGGTTTAGGAATGGGGGGGGGGGGAGGAGGGAGGGATTTCCTCCCTAGGCTGGCTTCTGGGTAATCTGCACAGAAAAAGCTGAGGCTTCATGTCAAAGTAGAGGAAGTGATCCCAGATTTCCTCTCCTGGGGTGCCAGGGGTGAGAAGGAAAGGCCCCTGAACCGTGCTAGAGTTCAGGGGGTCAATTAGCCTGAACTGAAGGTGATACGATTCCACTCACACAGTGAAACACTGGCCCTAGTGGTCAGCTTATATGCTGAGCTGCTTTCAAAAGACCCCAAACTTTCCTTTCTGGCAATCAGCAAAGATGACCGACTCACACTGGTTGGCCCAGGACAGTTTAGTTTTGGCTCTGAAAACCCCATGTCTAATGAATGTTCTAGGTCTCATCCCTGGCACACTCAGCTCAGCTCAGTGGATTTCAGCTAAATCTTGGAAAGAAAGAGCATCTTTTGAAGGCTCAGCAGATCAACTTATAATTAAAACATCACAGAATACTTACTAGAGCTGGCAACTACCTAGAATGTATGTTCAACGCTTTCAAAGTTAAACCTGGAAATATTTCTACAAACAAATACTCCAGTCGATGGCCAGATCAGCCATAGTTTTAAGGGCAAACCAGAGTTACTTTCCCTTGTCTATTTGACATCTAAATAAATTTTCTAAGAGAAAAGCTGAGTTTTTTTTTTTTAATTTAATGAGTTTAACAAGTTACTAGCTGATCATCTCACCTCAAAGCTGAAAAGATTTGGAGAAGTTTCCTTTGGGGAAGTGTATTCTAAATTTCCCAGTGACCTAAGTCTTTTTTGCTGTGATGCTAAATTTATTTTAAAATGTTAAGCAACATCTTAGTTCATGCTTAACTAAAAGTTTGGATTTTTTTAATTTAGTATAAGAAAAAGTTGTGATAAAAGACATTATTTCAACCTGTTCATTTTGCAGAGGGGGAGACTGATTAGAAAGAGAATGAGTTGGGGTACTGGTTAGTAGCCTACTAGGAACCCAGCCTGATTTCCAAAGTGACTAGGCAACAGGCCTGAGGCCTCTGTTTATTTGTGACTGGAGCTAACTGCCTTCTCACTGTGCTCTGCCTTTAGGAGTTCTGCTCCAATCATGGGACTATGCCTTGTGCATCTGGGAAAGAAGTGAAATCAAAATGTGTTGAGTGTGGTTTTGCCCTTTAAGTTTTCATATTAAAATGACTTTCTTAAATGACCTCACTAATGGAATGGGCATGTTTTGACAACTTGCCAGTTTATTTTTTCCCTTGTGAGAACTTTTGCCAAAAATGAAGAGGGTGAAGGGGATTGTTTTTTTCTGAGCTAAGCAGGGGAAATAGGCAAGAATGGGTGCAGTGAGTTTCCATGGTTACTGCTACTTCTCAGCACCTCAGCTTGGGTAAACCCTCTGAGGTGTTCAGAACTGCTTGAAGCACGGTTCACCAGGCTCACCCAGGGCAGAGTGCAGGGCCGGAGTCTCTGCCATGCCCTTCTCACGCCAGGCTGTTCCACAGCAGCAGGGCTTGAGCTACTGGGGATTGGTAGGAGATACTCCAGGGGCACTGCCAGTCACTGCCTCCAGGGGTTTTGACAAGAGAAGTGAAATATCTGGACATTTGGAAACCACAGATCATCTTAAATAAAGACATTGGAGAAACGTTCAAAGCAATAAAGCACCTATTATTTTGATTTAGCGATATTTATAAATCTGGAAGATTCACTTAGGGACACTCGTGTTCTCTTTCTTTTCACAAAATGATTAATTTCTGCTCTTGAGGAATGAGAAAGTCTGGATGGGAGGAGGAAGTGAATTTGCATGAAAGGTTAAACTTTTTTAATTAAGAAAAACTGTGTTTTCACACACAGATGTGTACACATGTGTGCACACACACCCTCCTGAGTAGCCCATTTCTTTGCCCACCTGTCACCCAAGCACCATGCATGCTAATCTCGGTGCTCCGGAACAGCCCCTCCAGCTGGCCCAGCCCCTCTAGGTCAGGGGATATGGCTGGTCTCTCAGCTATCACCCTGAATCCAGACAGATTGGGGGAGCATCCAGGCTATGCCCCAAGAGCCTGCAGGTGCTTCAGGACATTCGTTCCAATTCCTCTTCCCCAATGGAAAAGATGCCCAGTGAGGAAAGAAAGGCAGCCTTATCACCACTAAGGTCTGTTCGGTCCCCTGCCTGGCTGTACCCACCACTCAACCCTGCTTCTTTCCAAGGCCTTTCCTCACAGAGGTGAAAGCTAGGTCCTGGCTTTGTCAGTCTGCTGAACTCGTCCCCCCAAGTTCAACATCTTCAAAGAACAAGAAAGAGGTCTGAAGGCTGTGTGTGTGTGTGTGTGTGTGAGTGAGTGAAGGGAGAGAGAGGTCCTCTTGAAATAGGCTATGTGACCATTTACATTAACTTACAGATATGAGGGTGTGGATCCTGCCTGGGCTGTATGGAGAAAATGGGCTTTTAGGGCTCTGCCCTGGTAAAAGTCCAGACCAGTGGTGAGAGGCTAGGGCCGTCTTGCCTCTGGCCCTGGGAACAGGCTTCTACCATAATGAATGAGGAATATAAAAAACAAGTTCTCTCCTATGAAAAAATAGGCTTCCCTGCCCCAAAGCAGTGCAGAGGTTAGAGGAGGCAAGGAGTCACAGGGCCACACTATCCCTCACCTTTGCTGGGCAGTGATCCCAGGAGAACCCAGATACCCGCCTCCTCAGGCCTTGAGGCCTCTATCTCCCACTCCTCCAATATTTCCAGGCCTGCTGAGTTAGGGCTCAGCTGCCTTCCTCGCTGTTCTCCGCTGGAAACAGAAGCTCCAGCGAATGTTTCTAACTCCTGAGTCCACTCAGCCATGTCCCCCTTGCAAAATCCTCCCCTTCCCGCACCCCCCTGCACCCAGCCAGCCAATCGGCAGCCTGCGAGCCTCTCCAGACCCATCTCTCAGGGCCCTGGCGGGATAAAACCAGTCGGCAATGCCTTGGATGGGAACAAACTTCAGAACCAGGAGAGACGCTCTGTCCAGGGTGCAATCTCAGGCCGACCCGGGCAGTGAGGGCCTGTGGCCAATAGGCCAGGTATGCTACCCAGGGGTGACTGAAAGCTGACATCGGGAGTGGGGTGATTCGGAAGGGGGAGAAGGTCCCGACAGCCTAGCAGCTTGTTCCCTCCCAAGTTAAACTGGATAGGGCTGGAGCCGGAGTTTGGGGCTTCCTTAGCGCACCCCCAATCCTGGGATCCTCCACACAGACGTATTTTAGTTAGGCCAGGCTAAGGTTACACACATTTCTCCTAAAAATCTTCTGACCCCTGCCAGGCAATGAGAACCCATAGAACAGGGCCCCGGGGAAGAGAAGAGGTATCTAAGGCCGCAGATTTGAATCTCATGCCCCTTTCCCTGGGTCCCTGCAGGGCAAAGGCTTGGCGAAGGGCGAGGCGGGGACCTGCCTGAGGAAGCCCTGAGCCCTCAGCGGGCTGCGTGCGACTCCCTGGCGATGCCTCACAACTCCATCAGATCCGGTAAGGACGCGGCGTGGCCAGGACCCCCGAGCCCCCGCGTCCCCGTGCGTCCGTGCGCGCGCTCGGGTCGGTGGGGCTAGAGAGCCTACGCTCCGGGCTCGCGGGACCCACCTGCGTGGGGAAGCAGCTGGGGGCGCCTCGGGCCTGGCAGTCCGCTGAGGCCGCCTAGCTGCTCTCCGGCACTGTGGTCCCATGGTCCCGCGGAGCCGCCCTCCGCAGACCTCGATTTCTACGGACTACACAGGGCGGTGAGGAGCTTTCCGTGGGGGGTCAGAAGGGTGTCCCTTGCTCTCCACCCGCGTCTCGTATGGCCTAGTGGAGGGGGCACCCTGCTCGCTCGCAGGCCTAGCGCCGCTCGGGTGCTGGACTTGCGCTTCCCCTGCCCCCACCTCTTAGCCCTCGTTCCTGGGGCGCGCAGCAGTCCTAGCCTGCGGGTAGAATCCTGAGCCCCGAGCACTTCTTTAGTCTATAGGAAAGGAGCCGGTGGCCTGGGGCCCGGGGGCCTTGCGTGAGTGCACTCGGACCTTCCTTGCGGGGCACGGGACAGATGGGAGCTGCGCGCGGGACGTCTGGCCTTCGAAAACTGTGCTGCCCGAGAGGCCAAACCCCTCTCCCCACCGGTGCCGGGGGCCCGGGCCCCGGGCCTTCAAAGCGCTTGGGGTCTTTCGCGGCGGCACTGGCTTTCCTCAAGCTAAGGGGCTCTATGCCGGGAAGGAGTCCCAGGGTCGGGGCCGATCGGCGTGACTGGCACCGGCGCCCTGGCGCGCAGCAAGTGTGGTCAGCGGCTCTGGCGCGGCCGGCCCCGCAGTGATGGATGGAAGCGGGCAGGCTGCGGGGAAGGCGATTTATGGGGCCAGGGCGCAGCACTATCGATTGGGCCTGCGAAGTGAGAGGAAATCAATATTTCAGATGAATTCTCCGCGAATATGAAGTCCCGCTCGGCAAACGGGACATTTGTTATAATAAAGAGGGTCGGGTGGCGCGCGGCGCAAGGCTGAGATCTCTATTTAGCGGAGAGTGCAGGAGCCTAAGCTTAGCCGCGTCTCTGGTCCTGCGGCCGCGGCTCCGGAGGGTGGAGGAACCCCCTGGGGCGCCGGATGGTTTCTTATTCCGGTTAGTTCTGGAGCTGGAGATCCAGTCCCCAACAAGCTCCCTCCCCACCCTGTTCCCAGTTCCCGGTGGGAGTGGGCCACCGCCATCCCCGCGGCCGGGTGCCGGCACTCGGAGGGGCTCGGAGTAGAGGCGGCGGCCCTGTCGGGGCACCACGCGGTAGGCGAGCCTGGGGACGGAGCGGAGCTGCCTGACACCCCTTACTCTGCAGCGCCCGGACGCCACACTTGTTCCTTGGTCACTTTCTGAGGCTAGAGGGAGATTTAAGAGCCTTAGTCTTTAGCCAAATGCGAGTGCGTTAGACTTCGCCGGGCCTCTAAATCCGGACGGTCTCCAAATCTGGAGGGTCTCTCCAAGGCTGAGCTACCCTGGTGCCGGATGCCTCATCGCCCTGGCTCCGACCGCTTTTGCTCTGTTCCGGGTTTGGATGGGGTCCCCAAATCTGGACTTTCTCCTGGCCTTCTGTTAGTGGTACGAATGGGTGCTCTTGGACCTCAAATTTACCCTGCTGGACGAGAGCCTTTCCCTCTGTCGCTGCTCCAGAGATCATACGCTGTCACGGTCCCTCGGGTTGGTTTGATTCTGTTTTAAACACTTATTTTCAATCTAGAAGCACTCATTAGAGTTAATGGGAATAAAGGAGGAAAGGAAAAAAGATGCAATTTATTATTTACTTTCTTTCTAATCAGGGTCAAACCACTTACCCATTTCCTTAGGTGAATGTCTCGCCCTTCGGTTTGGGGAGGAAGTCTTTTACAAACAACGTTCAGTCTGCTCAGAGGTCTTTTATTTCTTTCTGTCTAGGAAAAGCAAGGGGTCTTCTTCTCGCCTCCCCTAAAATAAAGAAATAACGTTAGAAGGAAGGATGAAGCTTGCTCTTTTAGTTTAATGTTAAAACAGAAGAAATTTTCCCAAACATAACTCAAAAGACTCAAGAATGTTCCTTTCTCTTTTTTCAGTCCTCTCTCTGCAAACCTGAGCTAGAGACCTTTTTTTTTTCCATCTTTCTGATCAGTTTACCTGATATGGCTGTATGTGTGTTTAGAGTTGAATTCATAAAGGGATCCTGTTTGTATAAGTACTTTCCTCTCTGGTTGTGGCAGCTTCTCTTTCCTTCCCAGCTACATTCCTGGGTTCTGCTTTACCCCGTTAAGTTTTCTCTGGAGCAGAAACGGGGGGCTCAGGCTGCCACCGGGTTTTTCGTGAGAGCGAGGCTAACACACCATTTGCAGTAATCAGAGGTGCAAGGAAAAAGTTTAGTGTGCAGCCTCTGAGTCTCACCCTTAGCTCATTCTGGACTAATCTTGCTTTGCAGTGAGATCTTAATATTTTTTGTCTTGCAACTTTATTCTTATAAAGGGACCTTGAGAGAAAATATTGAATTATTCAGATATGCTCTGGTCAACCACAGATTAAACTTTTTGTGAAATTCACCAGGAATTTTGTAGCATCAGGGAACAAAGATTGTCTAAAGCAAAACATTGTTTAACTATTTAAAGATGCACGAGAAAGGAACACAGAATAAATATAAAAATACAAACACTACTCTATCGAGGAAAAGGGTTTAGTAAAAGCAAGCAGGTTGTCATTAAAACTTCCATACAATAACTTCCCTCTCCTGAAAATAGGTATTTCAAGTGGTAAAATGAGATCACATCACAGAGGAAGGACCCGGTGTCTAACTTCCCAGATCTGTCTGAGGTGGAAACCCTCGTCCCTTCTTTTGGTCTTAGAAAGAGCAAAGGGGCCTGATGTATTTGGGAGGGTCTATTTCGTCCCCTGGTTTCTTGCGTAGGTTGAAAACAAGGTCTTCTGGGAATGGGAAACAGTCTTGAAGCACATAAAGAGGTATTGGGGTCCCTCAATTCATCTTTGTTTCAGGATGGTCCGTCCTCCCACCCTCCTCAATGCAAGTTAATTAGGAGATAATTTAGCTACCTTGTGAATTAGTTTTAAGATAAGTATCTTTTCAAGCTTTGTCACTTTAATTGCCCCACTGATTGATAAGAAGTAATTATTTCTAATTGACACTTTTTTTGATGTCTATTGGAGGCATTTATTTGGGACTTTTTGGGGTGGAAAGAAAGTTAATTAATTTTATCAGACGATACCCAAAAGAACTCTGCCTAATTTTTCTGAAGAGGACAAAAGGGTTGAGGGGGAAAATCACTCAAATATCAATCTCATAGAGTTTTACTTATTAAAAGATATTTTCGTTCAAAGGAAAACACCTACTAATGCGAAAATATGTCAAAATTTTCTTCTTAGGGGGTCGAAGCTCTAATTTTAATGAGCTACATGTTTTATGGTTATATATTTTCCCATGGATATACTCACAGGCCTTTTATATGCCAATTTCATTTTGGAGTAGGTTACTCTGCTTTGTAATTAATTGTTTGTGAAAAGTGACATCAATAGAATTCAGTATGTTCAGGGAAAAAAGGGCATCCTTTTTGTAAGAGCTAATTGCAAGAAAGATTTACAAATAGTCATTTTGTTCTATAATTATTGATAGAGTTGGGTATAAAGGTGAAACTTTACTTACAGTGACATGCCTTTTCATACCTAAACCTTAGAGTCAACAGTTTAATCATTCACATCCTCCAGAATAATTTACTGTGAAAGAGAAAGACGGGAAAGAATAGAGAAGGAAGAGGAAGACGCTGAAAGAAGGCAAGGGGGGGAGGGGTGGAGAGAGGAGAAGAAGGTGGTTAGAGAAAATAAAAATGAAAGAACTTATTTCAGAACCAAGGTACCCAGGTACATGGAATGTTTGCCTGTCGAGTATAAGAAAATCATAATTCTACTTCAAAACACAGCCTTTCGGGCACGATCCTTACCATAGCTACTCAGCAGTCCCTAAACACTGCTGGAAAATGCACATTTTTCTATTCATAGAAAGAGGCTGGATCTTCGGAACCAGCCGGTTTGGATTGTGAGTAAGTATAAAGTCTTGATTTGGCGTCCATGAAAAGGAAAGAGGGATTATGCTTTGTGTCCGGGTCCATAAAGAGATTTGATGTTTATTTTTATTATTAAAACCCCTGTGATCCGTATCCATGGCTGTGCACTCACAATCTTTGCAGATAGACTTGTGACTCGTTGACATAGGAAAACATTCCCACATTAACCCAAAGCAGGGATACACTGGCTCACACTCCTGCATGTCTGAAATAAGAGTAACCCAATCAAAGAAGACGCGCCCCTGTCAGATTAATTTCAGCTGGTGCTTTTTTCAATCATTTATGTCTAAAATCGTTTCTGCATTTAATGATGTTTCTCCCAGATTACGTGGAGCCGCAAGAATGAGGAAACATTTTAAATGAAAAAGGAATTTAAGACATAAAAACAGCAGATAATATCGCATACCAACCTCACTATTAGTAAAACTGAAAAAAAATATATAAATAATGCAAAAAAAAAATCAGCAAGGGAGAGTTTAGTAATGGAAAATTCCCCTGCAATTAAATGAAACAGTAATTTAGTGGAGATATGCCTGAATGAATTAGCATTTATTAATTGGTTCACATAAAAACAATTTGTGTGGTGTGTCTGTGTGTGTTTGGAAAGGAATTTGTACAAGATTATATTTTCCATAGGAAAAGTTTCTCAAATGTTCGGATCGAATTATATAGTTTTAAATTCTCTTCTGCGAAAAACTCCAGTTCTCTCACTCGTGAATTTCACTTCCACACGAAAAGGATAGGAGCAAAAGAATGATGTGGTCTCCTGTTTTCTTGGGACATTTCTAAGCATGAAGCCAGTTGGGGACAAGCTGGCAGAGTCCGCTGTGCGTAGGAACGTTCAAACGTGCTCCAGAGTGGACTCTCAGGAGGCCAACCTCCTCTGGGACACTACCCAGGGCAGCAAAGGACACTGCTCTGTGGCCC